CCCAAAAAAAAAGAAATCACAAAACACAGAAGCAAACAATATAAACAATATCTTATATATAAAACAAATGAGTCATAATAAATATTACATAAACACACAAAAAACTAAACACTTAACTTATTTGGTTTGGGCAACATTTTGAGTAAAGTCCGTAATTACTGATCTGAAAAGCCAAACATCAGTGTGAATGTTACGTTTACTGTTTTTTTTCTTCCCCTTAAATCTCCCAGAGAACACCATTCATCTAAAATGAGAGTCACCACCCCAAACTTTTTATTTAGCCTCCTCTTTCTAGCAAGAAACACAATCACGTGTGCACTCCTTTTGTTTTTCCTATAAATCAGTTCCTGTGTGTGCTTGTAAGCCATCCAAGCCTTTATATAGTGCAGAAAATTCCACAAAACAGCTTTAGTCACACATGTTCTGTCTATTTTTTAGGAATATCTTCTCACTAGTTCAACCTACAATCAAATAAAGAAGAATCAAGTCTTTATGAGCTGATATGCGATTGGCTGCTTTGGACTTGCTTTGCCTTTTTGCACTTTTTATTTATTTAATAATTTTTTTGCTGGGAATCTACCAGCTCTACAAGTCTTCCATCTTTGTGTTTGTAATAGAACGGGAGCAATTTTGGTTCAGTCAGGATTGGACTCATAAGTCAAATGTAGACATTCATTCACAGTCACACACAGATGTCTTTACAGCAAACACGTACAAATAAAAATTCATTGTGACTGTAAATGTAAATTCACTCATTAGTGACCTTTCTACTTAACAAAGATAACTGTGCAATTTTTTTTTTACTTTTCTGAAGCAAACCAGGACTAGTACAAGTATCAAGAGCTCGTCTTAGGCGCCGTTTTCTTGTTCAGCCACGTGTAGAGAAGATTTTCAAGATTTAGTTTTCCCTCTTTTCACCTCAGAAGAAGGGAGAAGTGCAGGACTCAGCTCCACCTTTTCTCTGGTGTGGAGTGCAGTAATGAGGTCTTAAGGCCTCCGCCGGGATGCCTCCTGTCTGTAGGGGCTCCTTACGTACTCCGCCCAAAGTCCAACTTAAGGTTCCAGCCCCCATTAATGCTACTTCCGTTGCAAAGTGCAAGCAGTTAATATCTCTCTGCCCCTCCCTCCCATTTGAGTAATTTGGAAACCAACGCAACAGCAAAATCAAAAACACAAATGGATTGCTATTGTTGTGATGTTAAAAAAAAAGGGACAGTCATTGTCCAAAAAGCAACAGGAAGGGAGAGGGCAGGAAGAGAGCGAGTGCATTTGTGTGTTCAGTCCATCCTCATAAAATAAGGATTCTTCCTTGTAATGTCCATATGCCACCAGTCAGCATTTGGAAGAGCTGTTATACCTCCCTGGGGGGAGAAAGGATAACATTAATACACACATACCTTTCAGGAAAAGTACCTAAAACAAAATTTAGGAGCATTTCCTCACTTCCTTCTTTGAGATCAAAAACACTCCTGTATGTATAATAAATATGCAGCTGAAAACAGAAGGGCACAAGGAGCCTGGCTCTGTGAGACTAAGTTTCTTCTCAAACTATCAGATTATTTCTTATATAATAGAAGTAATGACTTACGATGCTGTCAGTGTGGAGTTCAGGACAAGAGTGGTGCGTATCCTGTACAGCTGAGCCAGCGTCAGCTTCTTGTGTTGGCCTGGAGATTTTCTCTTTTTGGGCGATGCCTCCGCTGCTGACTTGGCTTTCTTATCTAAGCAGGCAGAAGGAGTCACTTCCCCATCTGAGCTGTTGCTCTGAGAATCGTTATCCTCGCATTGTCCGTCGGGCGCCCCGTGGCCATGCCTGGCTTCCGCCCTCCTCAGGGTGGCACTGAGTTTGTCAGAGGGCAAGCTAATGCTCAAGCAATCGTCAGACTGGTCGAGGTCAGTGGAAAATAACTCCTTGTTTTCCACTGACGAGTTCTGGTCCAGCTCGGACATGCTCTTACTGTGCGACAGCTTTGACGTGTCCATGTCTCCGCACAGCGATTGGTCCTGCGTCTCAGAGCTGAGGGAGTGTGTGTGGGAGATGGGGTGGCTACCATGAAAGTGTTGCAGGAGGTTGTCTTCGGAGCGGGATAGAGCCAGAGAGGACAACCCCAGGAGGCAATGGAGTCGGGGGTGTACATGAGGCCGCCGACGAGGTTTAGAGGACTGGACAACTGACACCTGAGACCCTAATGAAGCATCCTCCTCTTCTTCCTCTTCTTCATCCACTTCTTCTAATTCTGTCTCTTCGTGCTCTGGCTCCTGACTCTCCCTGTCTCCCTCTTCCTCCTCAGTCTCCTCGCCTTCACTTTGGCCAGGCTGTGGCTGCAGTTCTCTTAGGAGGGATTCAGGGGAGAGGGTACCGTAGGCGCTGTCCATGGAAAGAGAGCGGCACTGGGGGTCCAGGTCCTCACTGTCTGGTCCCGTGCCCTGATTGTGCTCAGTGTAGATGGCGGAGTGGACTCTGAGTGGACTTGACGACTTCTGACCCACAGACCTGTCAGAAAGGGAACCCACAGCGCTATCCAAGTCTTTATTAGCGCTTTCCTGGAGGTTTATGTTGGAAGCAGGAATTTCTGAGTGCTCGCTGGGCTCATCGACATCCATCACTGATAGGGTCTCAGTGGAACCGTCTGATTGACTGAAAGGAGAGTTTTGGTTGAACGTTAGACTTAAAAAGCTCACCAGAAAGCGTGTAAGGAAAACATCAGAGACAATAATGGATCACTTTAAGGAATAGTTTGAGATTTTAAGAAAACAATTTGTGTAGAGTTCTATTCATGTTACAAAAGTGCAGCAGATTTTATTCTTTACACTTCAGTACCTTGAGTTTTGCTGATCCTTGTGACTCAGCAAAGGGGAACTTGTAGTGGAGTTGCTGCTCTCATCTTCCTCCTCCTCTTCTCCATCCCCCATACATCTCTTCTGACTGTCCTGCTGGCGGAGGAACTCCTCAGTGCGAAGCCTTTGGAGCTGGTTCTAAATTGAAAAGCACCATTTACATTAAATATGTAAATGACTGTAAAAATTTGTGCTTCTAAAGTAAAAATTAAAAAAAAAAAACAAAACAAAACAAAAAAAAAAAAAAAAACCACACATAAAAATCTCATATCTGGATGCTGGCCGATATTTTTTCTATAATAAAACATTGCTATCCTACCTGGACATTGCAGATTGCATCTATCCAACTTCGCCCCTGGGTGGCGCTGTTGGCTTGGAAAGTGTACGCTGCCACTGCACTCTTGAATTCATTGAGGTAGATGAGGATGAAAGAGCCTGTAGGAGACATAAAACGTGAAAAATTTAGTACTCTGTGGATTGAAAAGTCACCTATATAATTAAATAGCTTCTCAAAAGGTGAGAATTTCCTGGATTTTCTGCTTTATTAAAGCAAAAAATATATATTATTCAGGAGTTAAAGTCAGTATTTGAGCACTCACCTGGGTCTTTGAGTTCCTTACAGATGACGTTGTGAATAAGGAGAGGCTGACGGATAATTTTGACTTTCTCCACTCTTTTCACCGGCTTAGTAATTAGCAGCAGGTCGGTGAACAGAAAACAATAGACCTCCATCTGTGGGGACAGTAAACTCATTTCAGTTATGGTAACTCTTGTAATGTTTTACACATCTGCAGTTTTTGTGAGATTTTACGTAACCGCAAAGGAAACATGAGAATCCACGTGTAATCTGAATATAAAGATAAGAGCTCATCGTGTGTTTCCAAGCAGTCATGCGAGTCAATCTTACCCTACTGTCTTTGCCCTCCTTCATCCTCAGCGCGCCCTCGAGATGCAGCTGTCGAGTCTCTTCCGGAGATACATCTCTCATGGGAGCCATGAGGTCAAAATGGTTGTACTCCTTGAGGATCTGAGGGGGGAAAGATAAAGGCATGAAGCAGAGTTTGACATGAAGTCTAATTTTAGGGCACTGGGGTATTGTAAAGTGTTTCTTACCTTCTCCACTTCTTCACTGCTCCCCTCTACAGCCTCATAGCAGTCTATACGGGCAGAGATGGTGGCGAGCTTCTGTTGTTCTTGACGCTGTCGCATCTGGGAGTCTACGCTGTTGATAAAGCCCTCTACTGTGGCAACCTTAATTGGAAAACAATGACAAACATACATTTGCATTCAGACCTCAGGCAGGGTGACAAGCAGTCAAAGCATATACTTTAGTGTAAATGAGAAAAACAGCACTTTCTAAATGCTTTCCAAGTTCTTACCATGCTGCTGACAATGTCACGGGTTGCTGGTTCATCTGTCTTCTTGAGAAGAATCTTCAGTAGGAGCGGGTATTTGGTCAGTCTCTGGTGAGGCTTTGCCAACATGTCGGCCAGCTTCAGACGGTTACACTGCTTATTGGTCTCTGCCCACTGAATTGAGTCAGACAAAAGCAGGAAGTCAGGCATCAGAAATGAGGAGAAAAGCCAAGGATGAGTTTTTGGGCAGAGAGCATCTAGGATTATCGTAATGGTAAGAGAAACCTTACCGTGACGTAGGTCCTGAAGAGCTCATTGTCCCTGAGAAGCGTGCGCATGTACTCCATGCAACCCTCCTCCTCCATGCAATAACGGATGTAGGGCTTGAACATGGTGCCAAACTGAACCCACACACAGAAACAAAGACATGCGTCATATTTACTTCTGTCATCAGGAAAACAAAGACGTACTAGCTGCTAATTCACGTTTCTTATCCTATTTATGCTTAAAAATTGTGAAACAGCAAGATTTTATGTTTACTGGCATCCAGTGCAGTGTACCTTTAACCCAACTAATCAGGTGAATTGATAAAACACCTAAACCTTTATATGAGTCATAGTTACATAATCAGTCACACTTTTATATTGAACATGTAGTTACATGGTAATTACATTATTTATTAAATATAAAACCCTGGATTTTTTGACTTTGGAAAGATGCACTCAATGCTTTAAACCAAGATAAAGTTTCTATACTATTTAAATTAACTAGATGTCTTTCTTTTTTGTTGTCTGGGGGTGCATGCAGGGTTTGGATTCTCTTTTGTTGCATCTGTGGAGTCTGAAACTAACCGTTCTGAAACCATGGTGAAGGTCAGTGGGGTCGAGCAGAGCCCGGGCTTGCCTAGCCTTCTTCAGGGCAGGCAGCATGACCTGGGTCCAAAGGGAGGTGTGGAGGCGGACGATCTCCTGAATATTGCTGAACAACTTGGCGGGTTCCACCTCCGTCAGCAGGCCGCTCTCCTGCAGGTTCAGCAGCCCACACAGGAACAACTGCAAGAAGGGAGACATAAAAAGAGCGTAAGCCCTGAATATTACGACAGTAATCTGATGTAAGGCACTGCAGTTACGTCTAAACTTAAACTCCTTGTTTATTAGACAGCGATATAGGCCCCACACTTTGTCAATGTCTAATGAAAAAGAGCTTCATTGTATGTCTTATCTTTTACACTACACAACCCTCTTCATCTTACACAGTATGCAATTTATATATGCGTGAACAGACAACAAAAGCATTCTTTGCACTTACATCAGTGATGACTCGGAGTTTCTTTATGTAGGTAGCCTCTGTGTGCAGCAGCTCCCATATTGCTTCCTGCTGGTGGAACTGGCGTCTTGTCAGTGTCTGCGCACACACAGATTTTATTCATAAACATACACAATATTTATACGTTCCTCTCAACTGTTACAATATTAGCGTAAACTTCCTTTAGATTAGACATTTTAATCGCACCTCATTCCCATGTCAGAGTTTGGAGTACAACGATTACATCAGACATTTAAGCTAAATACTAAAACTCCCCAACAATATTTCCTCAGAAACTGTTTACATATACAAAAAAGTAAGAAATGAAAGGACTTAAAGGACAGTTCCAAGAACTTTTAGTTATTAATAAATGAACAATTAACTAAATGTTCACTTTCAAAACAAATCAAGTTACTGATTGCTTAGAATAAGGATAAGTGGTACAACATGGTGTGAGCCTAACAAACCATTTTTCCGCTTTACTCTTTAATTAAACACATCTTTATTATTTCTGCATACTTCCTTATGATTTCATGCTATAATGTAAATTGTATCCATACGTCAGTCGCGACGGTTGCTTATTGTCTTAAAAGTTCCACAGGAAATCTGTCACCCAACGCAACAAAAACAACAGTTGTTTCCTTGTGATGTTCTCATATTTTTTTACCGTAACTCACATCACCAACATTATTGTGTTTCAGCAATCAAGACAGTAATGTGTTCGGTGTAACTAATCAGAAGTACATTTACAGTATGAAAGACAGTATGTGTTGAGCAATAACCGCTAGCCCTGCTGATTGATCGTGGACTCGTTAACTCGTTACCATGTGCAACAACTCGGCGACGGCATGAGATGTGCGGCACAGAAATTCAGTTCCTTGTGGTAACATAACAGCGAAGTGCATTATAACCAGTATTTCAGGAAAAGAGGCATCAGGTTGAGTGTAAGAATGAGAAAGATAGATATAAGGAAGTAAGAATTGTGCACACACCAGAAACCAGCATGCATGCAAGTAATGTCATGAATGAGGAAATTGTAATGCCAAACCATTCGTGGTTCAGCATTACACCACTGGAAGTTACAAATATCTGCATTGATTCTAGTAGGAAACTGATTTTTTTCCATTATGTCTGCGCATACACGACAAGACAAAAGTGGGTGTGTTTGTGTGGTTTGCTTATCTGCACTGTACCTCTGAGTTGTCCAGTAGCGTTTGCCAGCTGTCCTCTAGGGATAGGTCGACCTCCTCCTCCTCCTCCTCCCAGGAGTCCTGGTGGAAGGAGAGCTGTCGTGGCACCTTTGGCAATCCAAACAATGAGTAGGTCTGGAGTTTGCTCTGGAGCTGCTCCAGTCGATCCACCTCCTGCGATCAGATAAAAAACAATTTCAAAAACAGATGTGACTATTTTGAACAGAAACATGAAGAGACGCAAAAGTAACTGTCCATTTGTGTGACTGTTTATTGTTACATTCAAACTGTAAGTAGAGAGGGGTCTGTGTATTATAAGCATACACAATCCCGTCCTTGCTGGCGCCTAGGCCGCTATTCAGGTCTTTGTTCAAGCTGGCAGGCCTTATGTAGTTATGAAAATGAGCTCCGTGCATTGAGACCATCTTAACAATAGGAGACGGGGAGTGGGGTGAGTGCTACAAAACAGTGGAAAGAAACGGAGCGGGAGGATTGTGCTTCTTGAAAACAGTCAACAAAAAGTCAGAAATGTATGGAGGGGAAAAAGATCCAAAGTTAGGACTTCTCGCTAAAGTTTGGTGTGAAAGCAGCTCAATGTTGTTTAACCCTACAATATGGAGGATGCCAAAGGTCCAGACCCAGGTGCAGGATCTCTGGCCCTGAGGGGATTTAAGGGGACCAAATAAATTGAAAAGGGATGGGCCCAGCAATGACAGGTGACTGACAGAAACTGTCTCCATTTGACATCTGCCACTGTTAAGGATGTGACCTCAGGGGATGTAATACAATGGAAGGCATGTTTGTGTGTGGGCGCGTGCCTGTCCTTCATTAGAATCAAAGTTGATTATCATTTTCAAAAACCTCTGATCCAGAAAGAGAAAGCCTTTGCTTAGGTTAACCTTGCGATCTTTAACGAGAGCTGAAAGGCAGACGGCGTTCCTTTTAAACAGAGCCAGGTTTATGCCTTCCCTATTTTCCATTCCTTATGATAAACTTGTTTATCAGCCATGTGATAAAAAGTTAAAAGTAGGAAATTTCCAGAAAGGATAGTGTTTTAAAAATCAAGATAAGAGTGGATAAAACTGAGTGCTAACAGAAGGCTTTTCCTCTACCTACTCATTTCCAGAGCTGCTGGGTGGAAAGTATGTGAGCCAACAAGTCAGGAGAACTTTGAAAGGAAATGACTTCACCAGGGCTCAAGGGGGATATGGCCTTCTGACCCCCTCCCACTGCTGCTTGCTACTGTTCTGTTTGTTTTTTTAATGTTTTCTTAATCTCAGACATCGTCTGGGCAACAAGCCTGCCTCCTACAGCCCTTTATAGCCAAAAGAAAGTGCAGCACTTTCACTTGGAACGAGATTGCACTCGCTTCTGTGATCATGTGATCGCAACCCTGTCGGCATTACCTTGCCAAAAGACCCCGCTCCAGCGTTGGAACTGAAGAAGCCACTGAAGCGGCTGGCAGCACGGTTCTTCCAGCTGTCGGGCCCAGCCCCTACAGCAGGTAGAGAGCCACCGATCTGTCCCAGAGCATCTGGGGTTGGGATATTCGCCTCACCCAGAAACTCTGTTATGTTCTTCCTCCGTCGGGCCTGACCCTGCGAGACAGAGAGAACAGACAAAAAGCAGTTACATGATAGACCGTAATAGGAGGGAAAAAAAAGATCCAATGAGTGAATGAGGGGAATTATAACTGTTTCCAGCCAGACGCATCGAAAGAGACAATGACGAAATGATAGGACAAACAGGAAATCTGAAAGGGGAATTCTGAGCCAGGGATGACATCAACAGGACCGTTAAAACTATCCAAATGCCTGGACACAAACAGGAGAGGGAAGGACTGCCACTTCCTCGCTGTGTATGTTCACTGCATCACAAGGAGCAGGCGGGAGGTTGTTCCAAAAGAACAGACGGCCGAGTCTGGCCATTGTTCCCTGTCCATTGTTACCCTGTCAGCAGGCCCTGGCGTGCGCCCTCGCTCATGCAATCTCTGTACACTTTACGAGCAGCAGCAAAGCAAACAAACAGGGGCCACCTCAGTATCTGAGGAAGCAGTTGTTTTTGTCGTCGGAGTGTCAATGCTGAAGAATCTGCTGGTCAGGAGTCAGCAAGAGGCAGGACATCGACACCCCTGCCACACTTCAAACACAGCAAAAGGAACTCACATTCCTGGACACTGACACCATTTCTGAAACTCGCCGTCCATTCCAGTGAAATTCTTTTACTCATCACCCCCCCAGAAACACAAACAAGCCTACACAAACACAATGTGGTAAAAACACCAAGCTGCTGCACTGATGGATATCACAGATGCACTTTCCAATTCTTCTGGTCCAAAACTGTCTGACTCGTGAAATTTCACAAAATAGTAAACAGCCAGTTTTAATTCATCACAGCCTAAAGTTTACTATTACAAATAACTGACATATAATTTGAGGACTATCAAATTATAAAATGTACCACAGATTAAAGCAAACTAAGACTGCACTTGACTTTTACTTTAGGGGAAACTGCAGGAACAAGAAGACTAGATAAAAAGCCTTGATTACTTGTAAAATGTAAACGGTTTTCAAGATAAAGTAATGATAACTGCCTGTCACCATAAATGTTTCTAGCATGTATATGTTACACAATGGAATGTAAACTGAAGCTAAAAAATGAAAAACTCTGGCTGAAATGTTGCATTGTGAAGACTCATTTCAGGAGGGCCTTAATGGTACCACTTAACTACAATGAAGGTGCATAAGTGTCCTATACAGGGTTGCATAATGAGTAAGTAAATCTAAATTTTTAGTCCTTTCATCTTTCAGGAGTTATTACCAAAGAGAGCAGTGACCTAACTGCAGAGTGACATCTTGGCTTTAAAACAAAAACTAAAGTGAAAGAGGGGAAAGGGACAAATTTGGAGGCGCTTTAGTTGAAAGGGAAACGAGCATGGAGCCATTTAGGGACTTTTTGTTGGTCCAACTGTTCAAGGACACAGGTGGTAGGAAGTGCCGAGTCCCCATGGTCAAACAGGGAAAATCTGAACCCTGTGCTACTGAGAGCGCACGACTGGTCAAACTGAAACCTGATTCATTTGTCTGACTTTGCTGTACGAGGCAATCAAAGAACAGGGTTTTATACATTTAAAGGAGGCTGTAATAATGGCAAAGAAAAGCAGCTAAAGTATTTCTACATATCAGATGGCATACATGAAGGAAACTTTGGATCAGAAATGAACACCGTGAACAGTTTAAAAACCTGTTTTTGAGGAAACCACTTTCAGCCTCAAGGCCAGGAAGTTGTAATTATAACCACCAAGGGATAAATGCCATCAGCAGTTTCCCACCATATTAACAGTGCTCACCATTGAAGCCAGCGGCATGTCAAAAGTAACAA